AAAAAAGAATACATTTCTTTGTAATAAATTTAATAAAAGATGGCAAGTTTTATTTACTCATAACTATAAATCATTGCTGAAAATTTAAAATATTTAAACAAATAGGCATACTATTTTCTTTCTTTTTTTTGCATACTATTTTCTTAAGTCAGAAATGTCAAAAAAAAAATTTTGTCAAGATGGCAATGCTTGCCAAATTATGTAGAGATTCAGTGAATTTCTTATCAAGATCCCAGCTGCCTTTATTTTTATTCAGAAATTGTCAAGTGACCCTAAAATTCATCTGTAAATGCTAAGGACCTAGAATACCCAGCACAGTCCTGAAGAACAATGAAGGACTTACACTTCCAGATTTCAAAGTTGCTACAAAGCTACAGGAGTCAGACAGCATAGAGCTGACATAAGTTAACCATAAGTTATGAGTTAGGCACAAAGGTCAACACCAAAGAATTAATTTTCATGTACTCTTTTCTTTTTCCTATTCCATGGAGCTGGTATTCAAGGTAACCACTCTACCTCTTAGCCATGCTCATAGCCTGCTATTGTCAATTAATGTTCAAAGAGGTGTCTAAGCAACTCAAGGCAGAGGAGTCTTTCTAACAAGTGGCACTGGGCCAATTGGCTCTCCACCTGCTAAAGAAGACATTTGGACCCTTACCTCACACCATACACAGAAATCAACTCAAAATTTGTCATGGACCTAAATGTAACAGCTAAAATTATAAAACTATTAGAAGAAAATCCAAGAGTAAATAATCACGATCTTGTGTTAGACAATGGTTTCTTTTGTTTTCTCACTATGTAGTTCAGGCTGTCCTTGAACTCACTATGTAGTCAAGGCTGGCCTCAAACTTCCTGCAGTCCTCCTGCCTTAGCCTTCAGGGCATTGGGATTACAGATGTGTGCCACCACACCCAGCTTCCATTTAGTTATTCTTCATATCTTCTTTCTTTGCTAAAATTTAATTTTTTTGTTTCAAGAGAGCTTTTCATTGCTTGTTGAAGTATTTTTAATACTTGCCTTAAAATACTTGTCTCCTTAAATATGTGTCAGATAATTCCATCATCTAGGTCATCTAGGGTATTGGTTTTTTAATTGTCTTATCTTATTCAGTTTGAGATTTCCGTAATTCTTGTTATGACAAGCGATTTTCACTTGTATCCTGGACATTTTGGATATGGTAGTATCCATGTTAGTAACCATTCTCTGACATTGCTTCACTGGACAAAAGAGGATGCTGCTGCCCACTGAGGGATGTCCAGGTTCCCCACTGGGCCTCTGATGACTTGCATTGCCTCTAAGGACATAAAGCGCTGTTGCTCCTCTCTTAGTCTCTAGTAGCCTGTGATGGAGGGGCTTGGTGCCACCAGGCAGGGATGAAGTCCTGGCTTCCGGCTTGGTCTTCCCTGAGGCCATGGCAGCAGTGCAGAGGGGACCTCGGCTGTGAGGGATCATTTGAGCTGTCACGTGCAGATCTCCCACTCCTGTCCGGAAGTGAGGGGATTTTTTTTGTGGTGTTTGCCTGTAATAGACAGTGATTGTATTAAAGTTTTCTATCTTCTCAGGATGTCCCTTTTTTGATCCTTTAACTAGAGATTAAAAAAATTGTCTGTGCTGTTGGATTTTCCTGGTTGTTGGCTCTTCTAGTACCCAGTTTCATATATGTGAGGCAAAACCAAAACTCACCACCATATTGTTCTTCACGTCTTGAGATTCTTAGTCTGCCTTCTTTTCTCCATCTTTCAGTCTTTTATGTTTGTTTCAAGTGTAACACCCAGGGTTGTTGCTGTATTTAGCAGGAGGAATCAGAACTGCATCTACTCCATCTAGTCCTGGAAATGGAAACCAATTTGTCAAATCTTTAAAACGCTCAACATAGATTTACCATATGACTCAGCAATTTCATTTCTAGGTATCTATCCAAGAAATATTAAAGCATATCTCTACATAAATACTTGTATAAGAACATTCACAGCAGTATCAGTCACAATAGCTGTAGAGACAATCCAAATACATATCAGTTAATGAATTGGTAAACAAAATGTTATTTCACTTGGCATGTTTTTTTTTTTCCCAGTACCAGGGATCGAACTCAGGACCTTGCACTTGTGAGGCAGGTGCGTTGCTACCAAGCTAAAGCCCTGACCCACTTGGCATGTGTTTTAGGTTCATTTCTGTTTCAGCATTTAGGGATCTGTTGGTTCCTCCTGTAGAGAACCTGTACCAGGCAAAGGGTCTTGCAAGCCTTCAGCAGCCTGGGTATATTTCACTCTAGCTTTGGATTGTTAAGGGTTGGATTTGTAGCTTGGAGAGCTTGCCAGGTGTCCCGCTGGGCTTGCTGGGCATCTGGAGCAGCACTGAGGCAGCACAATGGAGCCTGTGTGCAGAGTCCCTTCTCCAGGCTCCACAGTCACCACCTGTTATCTGGGTCTCCGCCACACCTGCAGCGGCACCATAGAGGGGAATTGTTGCGGGGCACAGTGAGCGTCCCACTGCAGGATGCTTAGGCTTGGGAGGACACACAGGCTGAGGAGCAGGTGCAGGCTGGAAGCTTCACCGTCGAGGTGAAGATGATTCCCGGTTTCAGGAGCCCAGTTCCTCAGTCTTGGGTCAAACAGAGTCACATTTGCTGCCAGTTACAAACTGGACGCGAGTGTGTGCTGTGCATGGGGGTAGCTCCTTCCCACACCCAGTGGAGCTGCCGCCTCTTCAGCTGTGGGTTTTGTATGGGTGGAATCTGTTACTCTGGGTGATGTCCTTTCGGATATGTAAACCCAGACCCCCGAATTTCTCCTCCCTTCTGGGCCACCTCTCGCTTGTATCCTTGGCTGCTACTGTCACTTGGGTGAAGTGATGGCGATGCGGAAACCTGCAACATTGTTTTGTCAAGACAGGTATGTGGCTGATAGAAGGTTCATGGGTACACTCCCACTGGAAGCCCAGGAGCTCGCTGCTTGGCAGTGAATTGGCACAACTCCAAGGCAGACTTCTGACCCCAGAAATGCCAGAAATCCTGCCTCTCACCTTGAGTGAATGAAGTGGGCAATGGGGAAACCATCAGACCTTCTCTGACTCCTCGGGCCAGGATGAGCGTGGGCACAGCCAAATTTCTTCACCAAAGCAAATTCACACAATTAGTGTGTTTGAATCCAGGGAGTATTTTTATTTTGGGGGTACCGGGGATCAAACTCGGGTCCTTGAGCCTGCACAGCAGGTGACAAAACCACTGGGTTAAATCCCCTGCAATTTCTTTTTGGAAAAAAAAAAAAAAGGAAATATTCACTGCACATTTTGATCACAGCTCATGTGGTAATACACTGGGTGGAGCTCCAAGGTAGGACAGGACTTTTGCAAAAGGCCAGGCAAATGGGAGGAGGCCTGAGGCCAGGGGGGCCACTCTGGGAAGACGCTACCATCACAGTTTGGGAGCCACTCCCTCTATCGACCTGCATTTAGTGAGGGGTAAAGGTGTCTTTTAGAGGTGAAGGGCACACAAGAGAAACATTCAGCAGGTTTTGTGGGTGACTCCAGCTGCAGATGTTTCTAGCACCTCTTGGTTTCCTTATCTAACACTTGATGGCAGTGAGCAGGGCAGGGGGTACCGAGCAGGACTGAGTGGCCGGGAAGTCTGGGAGGGAGAGCTGTGCAAAGGGAAACAGGCTCTTTCCTGCCCACAAGAGCACATTTCTGTGGATGGCGGTGGAGCAGGAGCTGGGTGTGAGAATGTGCTGTGGGAACAGCTAGGAGGAGCCTGGGCAGAGCTGGAAGCAGGGCTGAGCAGGGCCACAGGAAGCACCCAGGAGTGGCAGAGACCAAAGGGTGGTGCTCTCCTCAGCCTCAGTAACGGCACGGAGCATGTTCTTACCTAGCCACCTCCTCTCCCAAGCAGTCCTGTGGACCTCCAGGTCATCATTAAAGCCAGGATGCCTTGGCCATGGCCTCTCCAAGAATAAACTAGATGGGGCTGGGGATGTAGCTCAGTGGTGCCGCACCTGTCTGGAAAGCACAAGGTCCTGAGGTTGATCCCTGGTATGGAAAAAAAAAAAAGAACAAACTAGACAAGAAAATAAAATTGTTAGGATCACCACAGAGGGACAGGGGATAAACAAATGCCTGAGCCCTTAGCCTATTGCTTATTAAAAACATGACTTTTGTTTTCTTCTCAAAAGGCAGCCAGGGATTTAAAACTGCTTTTGGTAAAAAATCAGAACAAAATAAAACATCAAAAAGCACAGTGACTGTTCCCTTGGCCCTACAGATGCCTAATGGGTAACTAGAAACAGGTCAAAGCTTGCTGCCATCTCTGCCTTCGTTTTATATTTGTCTTTTCTTTTGAGACAGGGTCTCACTATGTATTTCAGGCTGGCCTCTTCTTCACTGTTAGCCCAGGCTGGGCCGGAGCTCACGGTGATTGTCCTGCCTCAGCCTTCTGACTGCTGGGATCACAATTGTGCTCTCGGTTCAGTTCCCGCCTGAGCTCTGCATTCAGTCAGGTCTGTGTGAAACTCAGACCCTATGGTTTGTGAGCCCTAAACCTGCCTAGACTATTTCATCCCCTTCACATCTGAAGACAGCAGCATGGGAGGTTTCAGAGGCCTTCACCCCCATCTCCTGTGCCACCTGGGCTCCGGCAGAGCCTGGCAAGGCTGACACTGCTGCACCTACGCAGGAGCCACACTGAGGAGAGCAGTCTGCTCCTGAAGCCATAGGGATCTCTCCGGAGCTGCAGAACTGGAACAGAGATCGAGATCTGCCAGAGCAGCCCACAAGCCGGCCTCAGTGTTCCCTCCAGTGCTGCCTTCTAGTTGAAGTTCATCCCCATATTTTCTTTCTTCCCAATTAAAGCTTCTGCCTGTGAGTTTGTGCTGTTGCCCCGGTTTACATTTCTGCTATTGGTGAAGCCGGGATCTCATTGTAGCCCAGTCCACGAGTTTGCTGCAGGCAGAGACTAGGGAAAGAAGGGAGTGTCCCAGGGTCCTAGATTTCAGGCAGCCTCATGCTGGGGAGCCAGGCCAGCTGTCCCTGGCCTTCAGGGTGACGCGGTCCCAAGAGCTCAGAGCTGTGAACCTTGAAAGTTCTTCATTTCTGTCTTCTTGTATTTATTCCTTTTCACATTTTTTAAATGAAAAGTTCTTTTAAAATACTTACCTCTACTGTACAGCATAGTATCTATAGATAATAACACTGCATTGTGTACTTAAAAAGGGCCCACAGTGTAGATCTCATAGTGAAGGCTACACACACACACACACACACACACACACCCAAAGGAGTGAGAAGCATTCATCTAAAACTCCTGAGGGGCCCAGGGTTCTCTGAAGAAAAGGGTTCAGTGCTGGCAAGAAAAGGCACAGGTGCTGGGACAAATTTTGCAACTACCAGCAGCAAGGCTGGACAGCGGTTAGAAAACAGCCTTTGGGCCAGGGCGTTGTTACAGTGAGAATTTAGGGAAGGGCAGCGAGGATTGTTCACATGGAAGCTGCACTGGCTATCAGGAGATGGCAGGGTAGTGTGAAGTGGGGCGTCTCGGGATGAGAGGACAGGACAGGAGAAGTGCTCATGGCTCTGCAGCAGTTGGGGCGATAGCAAAGTTCATACCGAAGCAGGAAGGGTGGAGCCTCAGGCTAAACCTACAGCGATTTTAAGTCAAGGTTTCAACACACATTCAGGAGTGCGTGTTGAAAGGCTGTGGAATAGTCTTTTGTTGGTTTTGGCCTTAGCTTTTCTTTCTTTCTCTCTTTCCTTCTTCCTTCCTTCCCTCCTTCCCTCCTTCCTTCCTTCTTCCTTCCTTCCTTATTTCCTTCCTTCTCTCTCTCTTTCTTTCTATTTGTTTTTTTGAGACAATCTCACTATGCAGTCCAGGCTGGGCTTGAACTTGTGGTGATCCTCCTGCTTCAGCCTCCCAAGTGCTGGGATTATAGCTTGGCACCACCGCACCTGGTTGGCTTTACTTTTAACTGATTAATTTCCCTATTTCCTCTTTCCTCTACCTCCAGCCTTCATAATAAGCTTAGGCTGTCTCAGGACTTTTATTATAGGAAAGTTTTGGAGGCGGTGACATGTGCGACACAGACTGTGGTGACAGTTTCATGGCTGTGTACTGATCTCCTAGGTGACCAAGTTGTGTGCAGTAAATACGGGGCGTCTCTGTAGCCGGCCAATCATGCCTCAACAAAGTGGTTTAGACTAACTACTGACTCACTAGCACCCAAAGCCCTCTATTTGGACCCGGCGGCCGTTCCTCCCGTGGTCTTGGGGGGCTGCCCTGGGCGAGGTCCCTAGGTAAGCATGTGTGGGTCCCTTGGCTCCTACCCTGCTCCCGCGGCTCTGCCCCTCTCCCTGGAGGCTCAGCCAGGGAGGGGCAGGGGTGGAACGGAGGTGGGCAGGGCTAGGGGGCGGGGGCAGGAAGGCTGGGCTGCGGCTTGTGGCCGGCAGACACCCGGGCTCTGCTCTGGGGACAGAGCCCAGCCTTCCTCCGGTCCTGGCCCGCGCTGCCGCTCTCCCGCGCTCACTGGTGTGCACCGGACCAGCTCACTGACGCTCACTGGGTTGGCGCTGGTGTTTTCACCGGGGCGGGGGCAGGGCGAAGTCCGAGGTGGACAGGAGCAAGGATGGGGTTCTCCTATTAGCTTCCCCGGAGTGACTTGGTCTTCGGCCCCCTTTCTTGGTGTTGGTTAGTGTCTATTTCTTCTACGGCTGTCCGCTCCCCACCATTCCTTTTCTGCTTTGTTATCCGAGACACCGGCCCTCACGCATGGGTCACACTGGCGCCCCCCGATGGTGGCTTCTCGCTTGTTTGTCTAATGGGAGGCACTGTGGGGAGATTTGTGGTGGAAGTGTCACGGGGGGCGGTCCCCGGAGAGGGGGTGGGGACCTCACGTTGCCCAGAAGCATTTGTGTGTTTGATTTGCAGTGCTAAGGACTGCACCCAGGTCCTTTGCACTGTGATACATCTCAAGTGGTGTGGTTGGTTTTTTCTTCCTTTGAGTCAGGGTATTGCTAATTCACTCATTTGCCCAGGCTGCCCTCAAACTTGCGATGCTCCTGTCCCGGTCCCCCCAAATGCTGGGATTACAGGTGTGTGCCACCATGCAGCTCCAGATAGGTTCTTGACTCGTTGCAGGAAAGCAATGTCAGCATAATTGAGAGATAGAGGGAGATTTATTGGGGACAGCTGGGAAGTAAGAGACCAGCGTTAGGATTTCACTTCTGGGAGCTGAAGGGGATATACGCTGTCTGAGAAGATCAGACCGGCAGGTTACAGAAGGACAAAGCCCGCTTTTACTGATCAGCTGAGCCGGGCTAGGTCTGGGTCATCATGACCTCAGCTCCGTTTTGCAATCGGCCCCCGGGAGAAGTTCTGTTTCAGACGGTCTCCGTGAGGCGCCTGCTTCTGCTCGGCGCAATCTCAGTTTTGTGGAAGCTCTGCTTGAAGTCAAGGGGACTATGGATCATAGGGAATGACTGGAGGCTCAGGGCGCTCCTGGGTAGCTGGATGTCCCTGTCATCTCCTAGCTTCGCATCCTCAGTCTCAGAGGGGCTGAGATAGGTTAGGTAAATTTAGGGCTAACCAACTTCAGACTGCCAGTAGTCGCCAGCCTCTCCCTAGGTAACTAACAGCCTCTCTGTGTGCTGAACAGGAAGGAATCTGACTCAGAGTTCCAAGGTGACAAAAGAAAAGGTGAAACATGAGGGTAAGGCTTCGTTTCATTTTTAGTTATCTATTGGGCGTCTGCAGATGAAGTCATTGTGTCTTAGCAAAAGGAGTTTATAAGTCTCTTACTGCCTCAGAAGAAAACACAGATCTTGCTTCTGGTGAGTAACATAGCAAGGGCCAAGGGCTTTGTTCGTCCCCTGTCCCTGTTTGGTCTCTGACTGTCAGAAGGAGAGGAAATGCATGGTCTCCCACACTCCCTCCCTGGCAGTGCTCAGCTTCCTCTTTCACTACAGCTCTGTCTGTGGCTCGTCCTCTCCTCGTGCTGCATGCCTGTTTTGTGTGTGTGTGTGGCTGCACAACGGCCTTAGCAAAAGCAGAATTTTTCCATAAGTGGGGAGCACTGTGTCTTCTCTCAGGACCATGTCTTTTTCAGCAGAATTTTTTTTTTTTTTTTTGGACAGGGTTTTTCCATGTAGCCCTGGCTGGCCTCAAACTCGTGGCAATCCTCCTGCCTCAGCCTCCTGGGTGCTGAGATCACAGGCGTGCACCACCGTGTCCAGCTCTTTCCACCAGAAACTGCAAGGCAGAAACCTCAGTCAGCATCATTTTCCTCTCCTCCCTTCCGGGGATTCAGCCTTTGAGCTTCCATCCCCACCTTCTCAGAGTCAGAGCCTGCTGGGGAGGGAGAGGGCCTCTCCCAGAGGGCAGGTGCTCAGCAGCCACTTTCAGTTTTGTTCTCAGGGAGTTCAGTTCCCCAGGGGCAGAGCCTCGAGGGCAAAGGCACTGCTCCAGCTCCTCCACCTGGGCCCTCCCTTACATGTATCTTCTTTGGAGGATCTGGGAATCTGCATTTCTGGTCCATGTTGCAGTGTGATTTTCTCCAACTCACCATGGGCCCTTGTTATGGTTTGTATCTAGATATCCCTCCAAAGCCTCATGTGCTCATAGCTGGGGCTTTGGGGAGGTGATTGGATCATGGGTCATGATGCTCACCACTGGATGAGTCCACTGTGAGTTTATAGCCAAATGTGATGTTGGGAGGTGAAGCCCGGTTGGAGGAGGTGGTCCCTGGAGGTGTGGCCTGGAAGGGTCTCCCTCCCTCCTCCTCCCTTGATTCCTTTCTCTGTTTCCTGTCAGTCATGCCTTGAGCTCTTGTCCTCTGCCAGGCCTCTCTGCCATGCCGTTCTGCCTTGGAGAGAGTCAACTATGGACTGCAAGTTCTGCAAACCGTGAGCCAAAATGAACCTTTCCTTCCTTAATTTGTGGGTGTCAAGTATTTTGTCAGCCAACTGGATCAAGAGGTTGCTCATGGCAAGTGACTTTTCTTTGTCCCACATGCACACAGCTGGCTGTCAATAAGTGCTTACTGAGCTAGTGTGCATAGGAATTAAATCCTATAACCTATTAGTAAGGCAAGTGGACAAAGATAGGAGGCAGAAATAGCTTTTGTACTGGGGACAACAGTAGAGCCAGTCTGGCTTGGGCCTTTTGCAAAGACAGGGATGCAGTTGTGTGTTGGGAGGGTGGTCCAAGAGGAGGGGAGATTTTCACCCTTACTATTCTCAGGGAGCAGCTGGATTGGGGTGCAGTGTGGGTAGAGTAATCTGAGAAGACACTGGTTTGGGCAGAGATGCTGACTGGGTCCCGCTGCCCTCTGTGGAGAGTGTTTTCTTGTGAAATGAATCAGAACGTGAGCTAACACTGCAGACAGTGAGTATTTCTGTGCATTCTATGTGGGACCTGTAAGAGGTTGGTACTTGGATGACCTGTATTTCACAGCTTGGACCAGTGGCCCAGAGCAGGAAGGAAGCTGCCCAGCCTATGAGAAGCAGGATTCTGCCTGGCAGTTCCACCCCAAGCTCTGTGCTGTGGCCACAGTGACTCCATCCAAGAAGGAGAGTGAGGCCTGAGCCTTCTCTTTCCCCTCTGACAGCCAGAGGGACATGATCTGACTGCTGGCCATTGTGCCCTCTTCTAGCCACCTGGAGTGGCCCCTGTGTCCTCCCACCTCCTCTGTGGTGGCCTTGGCAGCTGCCCTCCAGGCTGCATCCCTGTGGGGCCACCTCAGGTCTGACAACGATCGATTCCCAAACCCAGGCCTGCTGCTGCCTTTGAGGAGCGGCACCAGATGGCAGAGATCCAGGAGGGAGTGGCCCCCATGTTATCCTTGAAGTCTCAAGCACCAATGAGCCATATCAGTGCCATCATCCCTCCTGGACTCTTTCTGACAGCAGCAGCAGCGGGTGTGACTACAGCTAGGCCATTTCTGTGGAAATGCAGGGGCTGTCTATCAAGCAGCTGCTTCCCTCCAGTTCCCTTTGCTCTTGCCATGACACGGGCTGTGCTAGAGCCCTACAGCCGCTCTGCAGACGCTAGCCTTGACTGCAGCAGGTTTGAAAGATGGCCCTATCCCAGAGGACTCCACTCTGCAGCCACTGCCAATGGCTCTGCTCTGACCCTGTCCCCTGTTACTACTGTGACAGTCCTCTAAAGGTGTGCTGAATCCTGGAGTCTGCCCATGTGCAGGGCCCTCTCTTTTACATAGGGAGTCTCCCTCACATTCCCAGGCACCAGGAGGGGAGCTGTGCAGAGTACAGAGGAGGGAACCAAGAGCAGCACAGCAGTGAGAACCAAGACCAGGTAATACCCAAGGGGACCCTGGCACATCTGTGAAGAGCAGAAGCTGCTGAAAGAGTTCTACAAAGCCAAGCCAGGCATGGTGGTGCACGCCTATAATTCCAGCACTTGGGAGGCTGAGGCAGGAAGATTGCTGCTAATTTGAGGCCAGGCTGGGCTTCACAGTGATTTCAAGGCCAGCCTGAGCTATAGAATGAGATCCTGACTCAAAAACAAAACAAAACAAAACAAAAACGAATTCTAGAAAGCTGCCAAGGAGGTAATGTGTGACCCGGAGATGCAACACTAACAGCTATAACACTAGGCTTCGGTCACCACAGCTCATCGGCCTATTCCTTAACTTCATAAACTTGCAATCCCACACCGTGTGGCATTCAGGGTCTGACTTCTTTTGCTGCTCTTCAGGTTTCTGTGATTTCTTGTCTATATCTCCCATCTTTCTGGAAGTGCCCGCCCTGTCTACCACGTGCTGGCCGCAAGGGGGCAGCAGAGGCTGAGGAAACCAGGTTAGACCTTTCTGTGGCTCCAGAATTACTCAGGCCTTGCTTTCCCTTCCCAGACCTGCGGCTTTAGACCTTCGGGATTCCCGAACTGTAGAACGCGCCCTCCTTTCAGCAATATGTTTTGAACGTGCAGCTAATAAAAATGCCTGAGCATTTGTACAAACAAATAACATTTAAAAGAAACAGAATTAAAGGTTTTATAATAGAAGTTCTAATGTGTTCTCTGCCTCCCCTTAGTCTGCCAGATTCCTGGAGCTGCCCCAGTGCTAGTGCCCCAACCCAGTGGCCTTTTAGACCTCAGCTGTGCCTTGGGCAGGCTCGGCTCCGGGCAGGGCTTGTCCATAGGGCTCTGTGACACTGTGTATTGTTTCTGGTGCTATTGAGCTTCCATCCCCACCGTATTATATACTAAAGCATCAAAGGGATAAAGTAAAAATGTTCAGAGTGAGCCTGTCATGGTAGTGTCTGGCTGTAACCCCAGCACCCTGGGAGGCTGAGGCAGGAGGATTGCAAATTCAAGCCCAAGCTGGGCAGCTAAGAGAGATCTTGTCTCAAAAACAACAGAACAACAAAACAAACAAAAAACCTAGGATTTGGGATGTAGTTCAATTCGAAGGCCTTGGATTCATTTCCCATTACTGAAAAAAACAAAACCTTCAGAGTGAAATGGTACTCAGTGAACTGCGTGCCTGAGCACTTGTCAGTGGTGACTGGAGAGCAGGTGTCCCTGGCCTGCCCCGGGGAAGGAAGGGTCTCTGGGACAGGAGAGGAACACAGTGTTCGATGTCCTGGGTGCTGTTAGAACCTGGGCCTGCTAGGGCCCCTCCCTCTTCTGTCCCAGACCCTCTCTAATTCTTTCAGGGACAGAGACCACAGTCTGAGACCTCTAAGCCTTTTTCTGAAACCCAGCTCTGAAGCCCCTTCCCCTGGGACGTGCCTGTCTCACCCTTGGGTGTGGATGGATCTGACTGGCTGGGATGGGATGGGAGGGCTGGTGAACTCTTCCCAGGCCACTTGCTGAGGTCACTGGCTCGCAGTACCTCACCAGCTCTCTAGGACTTGGCCTCTGGAAAAGAAGAACACCTTGCAGCATGAAGGTGGCCAACATGCAAGGAGAACACCGTGGCAAAAACTCAGTGTGGTCTGTCCTTTTCGTATCACCCAGTCCTCAGGCCGACGTCAGATGTAGGCTATCCTATGGAAAGCCTGCTGGAGATCTTGGGAGAAGTTCCCGTGCAGGCCTTTGGGAACTTTTCTGTGGGTGCGTCTAGGGATTTTGTAATTAACAGCCACCCTACTTCCCCAGCCTGATTCGCTGTGCTCTAATCTCCTGTCTCATTTCCCTCTGACAGACACATGTCCTTGAAGTTCTTTACGGGGTGCTGAGGGCATGGAGAGCTCTGTCTTCTATAGCTTCTTCCACCTGGAAGGGGCTGTAGACCTTACCTACTGGGGACTATGTGCTCTCTGAGCAGCTTGGGGTATTGTGGCTCATTGGCTGGATGAAGGAAAAAACCTGTCAGAAGACAATGAGGAAAGAGTTAGTGACTATTCAGTTCTCTGATGGGAGAAAGAAAATAACTTTACTATTATGCCCAAATATGAGGAGCAGATCAGATTTCCACGCCTCTTGTGGACAAAGTATGGCGAAGAGGTCAGGTTAGATCAATTGTTGGCAGCCTGAGAGCCATAGCCTTAGCATAATTACCCAGATAATGGATCTAATAAAAAATTAGGGCCTCAGTACAGGCATCCATTTAAGCTGTGGTGAATTAGGGTCATTAGTGACTCTACTTATCTGCACCCAGAGCAACACTGGAGTCTTACTTTCTAAAGAAGAGCCTCAGGTCCTCTGAAGTTCTCAGGAAGAGTTGTCTTCTTAGTCCTGTGAAAATTCTAGTGATCATGTAGAATTGTTATAGCTTGTCATTGATCCCTTGAGGAAGGAACAGAATCGTTCCTCAGGAAATGGGAATAAGGCTAGGGTCTTGAGGGGTTGTAGGGGTGCCTCTCTTGACATGTCTCTTTGGGATTTCTTGCAATGAATGACAGCAATCTGCTTGGGAAGATGGACCACCTGTAAGAGTTATGGAATTTCCTGCTTGTGCTTTATAAATGATTGCTTATTAGTTAGTAAGCTCAATCTTTCCAGATTGCTGCATGAGATGTAGCACCAGAAAGACATATTTGGAATGTTTGCCTGTCTGTCTGTCTGTCTATCTGTCTATCTATCTATCTATATCTTCTTGTCTTTTTTAAAATAAGAATGCCCCACCCCTTTGGTACTGGAGATTGAATTTAGGACCTTGCACTTACAAGGCAGGTGTGGTGCCACTGAGCTAAATCCTCAGCCCTATCAATGTCCTTTTTGAATAGTCTTTGGGGGAACTTGGCCGTAATGACCTGTTGTGAACTAAAAACTGTGTAATGTGCTATTTGATGTCCCTTTAAAAAAAATTTATATATTAATTGGTACATTTTAGGTATACAATTTGTTTACATTTATCATTAGGTGTTTGTACCTGAACATGATGTTATCTTAGTTCTTATTTTTTTCCCCATTACCTATGCGCCCTTCACCCCCACCACCCTTCCCTATTTACATAGATTTTGTTTCCGTTTTGTTTTTTCTTTCTCATAATTTTTCCTTTCCTTTCTTCCCTTTCCCCTTCCCCTCCTGCCACCCCTACACCTTTGGACCTTTTCCTATTTCAAATTATCAATTATTCGTTTTAATCATTTTCATCCTTATTT